GATTGCGCCATAGCTTTGCTTGCGCGAGCTGAGAAAATTGAGATTGCTTTAGCTATGGCAAAAACTTAAATCTAGCTCTACCAGTAGAGTTTGGTTGGTAAGTTATGAATTTTATTTACGAGATTGACATGTGTTATTCTAGACAGTTATTCTAGAAATGTCCATCACCTTTCATTGTTGTCCTACTGTATATGTACAAATTCCTGCTGTCTTTCATGGTTTCGCCGCAAAGGCCGCACCCCGACTTTTTTATATTTTCTCTTCCAAAAATACTGCGGCCTTTACGCCTGCAAATATGGTTTAAGAAGAATTACAGGTTCAATTTAACATCTCATTTTGGATGGCAGGTATGAAACAAGAGTTTTCCCCATATTTTTAGTAAGTATTTATCTTTCCCAAATTCATACTAAACAAAACATTTTCAAGATGTTCAAATTTTATTAAAGAGTTGACTTCTCACAAATGTAAGACTTTCTGATAAAGGTACATGTACATGGAAACCAGGTGGTCAAAATAGTGATGGGCAATGAGTGATCATGGATTTGATTAAATAAAATGATCTTTACCTTTATAGATGTAAACTTTGCACTAGATATTTTTAAAAATCCCTGTATCAATTTAAGGCTGTAACCTTTTTAAAACTAAAACTTGAGAAACCCTAGGTGATGTTTGATGCTTTAAAGCCCCTCCAAAGTGTTGGAACTTGGAAGTCCCACAAATTTGATGGCAAAATTTCACTTAAATTGTATCATGATGTGAAAGAGGATGTCATTTTGATTTAAGACATATTTCTGCAAGGATTTTCAAAAACAAATGTGTGTGAAGTCAAATATTGATGAAAGAATACAAAATATAGGTTTTCTGCCTACAACACAAAACCTAAATTATGTATTTTTTCATCAATATTTGTCTCCAAACTCATTTTTGGGGAAGAAGTGTGTCCTCTTTCACATTACATGTATATGATACGATTTAAGTGAAATTTTGCCATAAAATTTTTGGCGAAATAGGGGCTCTCAAACTTTAGAGAAACTTGAAATGATGATTTTGTATACACATGTATACTGGTAGCATGAGTGTAAAATTGATTCACTGAATTAGTGGATCATGTCATTAATTAAATGCATTCAAAGTAGCACGGAAAGCTTTATTCCCACATGACATCTTGTACATGTGAAAGACTCATTGCAACAGCATGACCAATATACTGGTATGTACAAATATTTTCACATCATTCGTTTCTTTTCTTTTTTTCACAGAAACTTGAATTTACTGTAAATGTGGAATGTAGAATTGTAATTAATTGCATTGCAGAATATATCATCATTCTCGCACTACTACTTAATGTTGACCTTCACCAAAAAACTTTCTGGAAATTTCTTCTTATTTTCTAATGATCTCATCAAAAATATTTTTCAGTATTAAATATTATCTTTTCTTCAGATTTGTATTGATGTTTCTAAGTATTATATAAACATGTTTGGTTTGGTTTGGTTTGGTTTTATTTTCTGTATAAAAAACATTTACATGTAACGTACATGTACAGACATAACTTTTATGAACATAAACAATATGAATGGATAGCTCTATTCAGACTTCAGAGCCATGATTAAAGTGTCTCGGTAACATTGTAGAAGGTTTATGAAAAAATTGCTAAATTTTTGTATAAAATGTTACTTATTATATTCCTTCTACTGTACTAACCCTCAGACATGCAAAAAATCCTGGAAAAATTCTCAAACCACAAAGATATCTATGGTTTTCTTTGAAGGTGTCACTGTGCAACACCCTCTAACAGTGATTAACAGTAAATTCCCCCAACCATTTTTGAATTTTCCCAACCGTTTTTCCATGAAAAAAAAGACATAAATGGGCTATTAAAAAATCTGTCAACACTTAAATGTCTGGAATGGTATGTAGAGCCAATTTATTGCTTTGTGACGATTTACATTCACCTAAAATGTAATTAAATTGTAATAATATAGTTGGGAGAATTAAGGAATCAATCAGATCAATTTTTCCCAATTTGTATCATTAAAGGTACTATGTCCCTTTTGCAGCCAACCTCAAATTCTGTAGAACTTTGCAGGAATTATGAATATGTCATGTGTGTCCTATCTGTGAAATTTAAACGTTAGCAGTGTCCTCATATTCAAATTATGCAAGGAAATCCGTTTACTTGCTAGACTTCACTGTCAGACACTATTGAGTGACTGACTGGATTTTTTCCTTCTTTGGTAATAACATACATGAAAAGAGTTGTAAAGGGTACATGAGCATTTGTTTACATCAATAACCCACTTCTTGTGATGGCCAAGATTAAACTGATTGAATCTTTGCGCAGCATAAAACGTATGACCATTGGGTACAATTGTCTGAAAATCAAGACTATTACTTTTGGGCTCTATAGCCCTAAAGTCGATTTGACAACTAATAGTCATTATTTTCCCACTTGAAGACATTTTCAAGCCCCACCTTTTTTTAGGGAAGTTCTATATATATTATGATCCTTCAAATGCAGTCGGAATTTAACTTTTTCATTTTTTTTTGCCTGCAAATGGGACATAGTACCTTTAAAGGTAATACAAAGTTTTGGGAAATTTTGAAAATTGGGTGGATAGTAATTCTTTACAATTTTGATATATTTGGATGCCCCTGTGGATGTACATGTATTATAATCACTAAAAAAAATAGCCCGTAAAACACTTCTGCTTTCGAGAAAAATTGAATATAAAAATTTACTGGTGCTCCCGGTAAATTTTGATGAATTTCAAATAGCGCCTACGGCCATACTATGGTAGTTGCGACCATGCAAATCTCAGAATATGCAGTTGTGATATATCATTTCTAAATGGGAATAGCCAATAGGTCGATTTTAGTCAAGAAACAATGTATTATAGTTAATATATTGACCTTGAGAGGGAGATATACAACATAAAGAGATTATTATTTACAATTTCATAACTCTAGACTCGATTTCAACTGGGACAACGATCACTGAATATTGTAGGATCGCATATGCTTCCAATATGTTCCTTTGAACCAAATTCATGACCCCTTACCAAATCTTTGTATTAATACCTTTAATAATAATGGTCTGTTTTCACTCAATTTTTCAGATTATCTTTAATTGTACATCTAGCATTGAAGTCACTACCTTAGCACCACTATCTCTTATCTGAACAATGTTGCCAAATGTAATGGTTTTGTTCTTCCAAGAGGTCCAGTGATGTACGGTATTTGCCGGCGTAAAGGCCGCAGTATTTTTGGAAAAGAAAATATCAAAAAGTCGGGTGCGGCCTTCACGGCGAAAGAGTAAAAAAAAAAATTTTTTAAAAAGTCAAAACCAGCACGAATTTGCACATATGGGACTGGGAACGGTAAAATAACTATATCACTATGGTACAGGACATTTCTTACCGACAATTTTATCTTGCATTGTTGACATGAAGACAAAAAAAAACGTCCTAACACAACATTTGCCGATAGATCTTGATCTACATGTAAGTTCGTGCCAATGCATTGCAAAAGTAAAGGAAGGGACCGTTTAACGGAGCTGACGTGAACATCCATCCGAAGCCGCCATTTTGTTTTCCATTTCATGCAGTTTCGCATTACACTGTACATTGTGGTAAGGGTATATATCGAACACCAAATCTGCCCGCGATCACTTTTTGAGCTAAACTTCCGGTAAATTATAAGAATATTGATGAATTTGGGAGAGCGGCGGCCGCTGGCATAGTACTGTCGGTAAAAATGTTTCCCAACTCAAGCACTGTCAAACTCACCACTCAGAAACTGGGACCAAATGTCCGGATTTCTGTTTGTACTCTGAGGAAAATGGATTATTCTGCCATCTTTGGTTTTTAAAACAGCATTGTTTAATGTTATTAAATAATCAGCGCCTTCAACTGCAACTCGAGGTAAAATTGCATGCGTTTTCGGAGACGGACATGGGATAGTACTGCTAGTGGTATGGTGGTGGCAAAAAAAATTAATAAAAAAATAAACAAAATAAAAAAAATTATTTAAAAACATGGCGTCCGAATATTCAAGTATTGGCTTGTGACCCTGGGAGTGTACTCGGGTACCTCATTACACTGTTGTGCACAGCCTTATTTCAAATGCCATTGGAATTTAACCTTTTCTTTTTTTTGGGCCTGCAAATGGGACATACAGTAGTACCTTTAAACGTATAATCCAAACATGTTGTACATTGCAAACTGTAGGCGTCATCCATTTGGTATTTTACATACTGTAAATTTTAAGATGAAATTTCAGGGTAAAATCTTGGATGTTCTTACCCTTGATATAAGAAACATCCATTAAGATGAAGAGACCAAAATAAAGGTACAAATGTACACAAAAATTCTGCACATTTACATGTACATTTGTACATGTACATTATTAAAAAATATAATCAAAGCAAATGGTTTTCCAAGTACATGAAAAAGAATACAATTTTTTTAACTGTGTCTTTGGCACTCTGTAGTCTGTACCAGTTTCCCTTAACCAATGAATGTTTTAAAAAGTAAAATTGCACAAAAGATATATTGAAAGTTGAAAAATGTCGCCAACATAGATCTCAGGACCATCACAAAACATACACACGGCTTGACACTAAGAAGGATCCCTAAAATGGAGGAAAAAAATTCAAACAGAGAACTTGACACAGATTTTGGAATTAGGATTTTATGGAGTCCTGGTTTACTGGAATTATTTGTAGTCTTTGAAGATATGTCACAAAATCATTTCAAAATGTGAAAGTGACAAGAACACAAAAAAGGATCAGGTAAAATATTTCTCCACAAAATATACTTTCATAATGGGTGGTCATCAAAAACTTGTTTTGCACAAGTTTGCCAAACATAAAATGATAATCACTTACATTAAAGAAAACTCTTCAGATTGTTTTTACCGGTAAAGAATCTTAAAACGTTCATCTCCAAACACCTTTAAGAATCATGACAATAATAGGAAGAATTTAATAGATTCTTTACCTGAGTTGGAGCACTGTTTATTTGCACTCTGCCTTTGCCTGTGGTCTTCTGTCCAGCTCCATCTTCCTTATCCTCTCCAGCCCTTGCATCTCTCACTTCTTCCCATGGTAGTTTGGAGCGACCTCTCCCTGCACTCAGAAACCTTTTAGGAGGTTGTGAATCAGGGTTGGCAGCATTACTCATGGGTGGTTTAGCTCTTGTAGGTGATGGTTGGGAAAGCTCTATCCCAGGATCAGTGAAGGCTCTTTCTTTTGCACTTGAGTTTCTTGTAGCTTTCAAAATCCATTCAGTATCATAACCAGCTGATGATGCTGTTCTGCCTGCAGCTGCTGCTGACGATGGTGTCTGAGATGCATACTCCACTAAACCATTCTCATTTAATCTGGGTAGCTGTCTCCTTGCCAGTCTTGCTTGAACTGCCTTCATGACTCCTTCTTCTTCTGTTTTCATTTCAATCTGATCTACAGCATCAATGAGAGGACCTATTCTAGTTGGTCCCATTGCTTGAGCCAGGGCAGCAAACAGTTCTAGCGTTGCTTGCCTTACCCTTCTCTTCTGATCATTTAGACATTGTGACAGTGTTCGGCAAATGACTGGCAGGTCAAAGTCATAACTAGGAAATGTCAGAAGAGCTGCAATCACAATGTTCAAAGCTTCCTCTCGTACTCCAGATTTCCGCTGGTTCTTCAACTCTGATACTACATGAACTACAGGTTTGGGTCCTACACTTTGCATAAGCTGCATCATCACCTTCATGTTTGCTTGTCTAATAACTGTCTTGTTGTCTCCTAAGCGCTTTGAAAGAGCATTTACTATGTGTCGAACGAATGGTTTAATGTTTTGGTTGAACTTGAGAACCAGTTCTTGAAATATTTCCAAGGTGTGCAAGCTAACTTTGAAATTGGAGTCATCAAGTAAGTTGCACAGGAAACTGATGAAATTGATCATGTGAGGTGTAAGCTGTGATATGTCCTTGAGTTCCACAACTATTTCTTTGAGCTCCTGTACCCCAGATGCTCTCTCAGTCCAGTGTTCTTGGTCTGACAATTGATCAAGCACATCTTGTGGTACAATTCCAAACTGTTTTTCAACATTTGGCTTAGGCCTCGATCTACGCTCGTCACCTGGGACAGTTTTAGGTTCCGTTGTTCGGTTGGAATTCCAATCTAGAGATCCTGAGGTTGAATATCCTTCTGAGGGGATTCTTGGGCTAGGATCAGGTCTCCCTGTTCTTTTGCAATAACCACTTTTGATTCTTGCTGGCAAGCTGTCTATGTACGAGTTAAATGATGCTTCCCCAACCAAAGAACAGATTCTGTCCAAAGATACGCCTGCAGTTACCATCAAATCAGTATCATCGGTGAACTTTCTAGCCAATGCACGAGTAACAATTGACAAGTCAGTGTTTGCAAATTCCCCTGTCAGAAGAACAGGAATTGAAACTGCTGTTTCGGCTCTGATTTTGGGGTCTTCATTTTCTAACCCATACTTCACAATTGAGTTGAAGATTTGCTCAATGTTAGTTGTATGCTTCATGTACATATGCAGCGTCTGAACAGCAGCCTTCCGTATTGATACCTTTGCATCACTAAAGCTTGATATCAGATCAAGCATGATGAGCATCATGCAGGCATCAAGCTCCTGCTTGAGAATTGGAACCAAGTCCATGATAAATTGAATGCACTTGAGTCGCACATTCTTTTCCTGGTCTCGCATAACAAGTGCAAGACCCTTGAAAAGTGTACGAGGATTTTTAAATGGAGCTTTACCTCCATTCCTCCTGACTTTAGAAACAAGTTCATCAAGAATATATTCCCTATGCTGGACATAACTGCTGTCTTGCAACTGTCTGAAAAGGTCATCATCATCATCCATTTCTCGCTCATCACGCTCACCGGACTCGTCCGCATCGCTCCCATTCATTACCGTGCGGTGCTCACCTTGCCCGAAGTTGTATACAGGCAACTTGGCAACCGTTCCGGCCATCGAAGCAGTAGACAAATTGCATTAATTTTCGTTTTCTCATGTAATACTCATGATAACATATATATCAAACGATCGATAAATACTTTCGATTCCACTACATAGTGCTTTGAGACCTGCTGAGCCTTGGCTGGAACGAAAACTTGGGTAGTGGCGGCGTCTTGCAGACCGTAAACATTCGGAAATTTACATGGCAATCGAAAAATGGCGATGAATAGTGGTTAATCACGTGACTCAATATTATAATACTCTTACCAAGAGATGGCGCTGTGTTTTTCTTCTGTTTCTTCTCTATGTAGAGCTTTTCGTGGCTGGGAAAATTTAGAGATTAAAAACTTTATAGACCTACTAACAAAAATAAAAAAATCACAACTTTTTTTAATAATAATAATAAAAGCTCACATTTATAATGCGCCTAATACTTTGTTTCTAGGTGCAGTACATATTATGACTTGAGATTATTTTACACCTGTTTTTGAAGAAGAAAAGAAGAAGCAACTTTAAAATACCCCACCATAAAGATTATAAATATAAAACTTATAGATTATGACTAATTTGTAGACCTTAGTTTAAAAGCGTATCTGCACTAGTTTGGCCATCAGGAGGGATTAGCCCTCCCTTCGTGGTCACTAACAGGTGGTTATCTCATCAAATTAGCTCTCAATTAACATATGAAAAAGGGGATCATGGGGGACCAACAGGTACCGCTTAGGCATTGTTTGCTAAATAGAGGGCGCAAGTAGCTACAAGTAGTGTTCAAACTATGAACATCTACCAATTATGTTTCCATCATCGAAATCATGCAGTGCATGATTTGTCCCTACTAGATTGTCCCTGTTTGTCAGCATCACTACTATTTGCCATCCTTGCAATGAATAATTCCATTTTCAAAATGGATAAAATTGATATCGAAGTAGACAGAACTTCCCGTCTGGTATGAGGAATTCTTTCCTGAAACTTTTATTTTTAACCTTCCCATGTAGAGGCTGTCAGGTGAGCCAAGTACGCCTATGGTTTCAGTGAAACAACAATACAAGAGACTGAAGCTATTGGTCCAATATCAAAGAAATATCTTATTAATTGAGTAAAAAATTGAAGGTATTTGAATTGAATTTAATTTAATTGAATGCTTTGGGGCAAAACAGATGAGGTCAGTATGTAAAAATGAGAAGAAAAAAAATAAATTTGTATTTCTGTGTTTTTCGGAGTGTGTTTTTAAAAACTGCATAACTTAAAAATGAAAATGAATTTTCCAACAAACATTATATTTTGTGGAGAAATAATGATTTTTTTTTCTTTTATTAAATATTTTCAACATCCAGTCTGTATGAAATTTCATCATAGCTTTCAATATCAAATATTATACAAATATACATTGCCTTGAGAGGTTCTGGTTAAAACTATGGGCAAGAGGTGACTCCAATAGTACTATTTGCTGAGGGGTGCAGCAAGGTCATGATTATAAACAAGCATAAGTATAATTTTCAACTCCCAAATAGTAAACCAAAATAGTACTCTCATATAGTATTTTCTAAAAATAGGTCAAATATTTCTGGTCATGTGACGAGCTCTCAACCAATCAAAAGCCAACAAATTTTTGATGCAGGATATAATATTATCTATATAAGGCTTCCAAGTGGTACAATAAATAAAATAGCGCAGTACCCGGATGACAGATCAATAACGTTTTCGTACTGCTCTGTCATCCAGGAACTTCAACTGCTGATACAACCGGTCACTGTACCCAATGTGCAAAACACATTTACAGAGGTATGTCATATTTGTTATTTCGCTAGTCAGCCTAAAATAGATAATAATAGAATTGTATGGCTTTGTTTTTGTGTCATACAAGAATATATAAGTACTGTTTATTTGAAGTATTGAATGTTAATACTTTAATATGACAATTAAAAGAGAAGCGTATAACACATCAGTCAACAACATCATTGAACAGAAACAATTTGCATTTAGTTAATAGAAAATTTATTAGAAATATATGATACAGTAATAAAACATATTTCAATAGAAGTAGCAAATAGTAACCTGTAATTTAACTAGTTACAGTGGACACATCCACTTTACATGTAATTGTGCTTTCAGCAAGGTCATGATTATAAACAAGCATAAGTACCATTATTAAGCAGTTCTCAATAAGTACAATTGATAGCGTATTTGATGAAGGAACACACCTTTCCTCTCAAGCATAAAACAATAAAAATCAAGTTCTACAGCCAATGTACATCATTGTGTGGTATCTTCATCTCCGGGTACCTTTTGAAATAAAACCAAGATCTCAATACAAAGGGACTCATAGCTGAACAGTAAAGTTGCAATATGTGTAGATAATTATGGTAAGCTTCCACAAAGTGATTTTCTTTAAGCACATGTACTACAAGAAAACAACAATAAGTACAAAAAATGAATGTAAACAAAACCTTATGTTATTAGATAAACCTTTCAAAACCACACCTATGTAAACCTTTTTCCAAGCTTTTAAAACAAATAAGAATTTGTATTCGTATATGGGGATACCACTTGTAATTATCTGATGAATAATAGTAATTTTGCTATTCTTCTCATACATATATCACAAAACATTCTCTTTAAAGAACATCTTGAGATTTTAGTAGAAAAAAATATCACTTTTATTTTCACTTCACAGCAAAAAAAAAATTATACTTGATCAATCCTTTTTATCTTTGTAATAAGTTTGAATTGTTTGAAGGCAAGAGTCACTTTAAATACCTATCTCTTTTACATTAATATTAATGTATTTTTCAAATCAGCAAAGTTGTGGGGGGATGTATCTCTTGAATTCTTCATTGCTTTAAAGTCTTAAAATTTGTAGTAATCTAATACAAAGTACAATGCTTTATGTGCATGCACAGTTGTATAGGTATACAATAGATTTTTTACAATTTAAGGGCTGGATACAGGCCATATTCACCTAAGAAATTAGATAGTTTTATTAGAAAATATTAATCTGTCCATAGATAATTCCCGCCAGAAAAAGGAACATGAGATTTTCAAGCTGTTAAAATTGCACACACATCGAAATTATATACTCTTAACCCTCTAAATCTTTACTTACAAGTTATTCAATATTCATGTATAATTGGCATGTACTGGGTAAAGTTATAATGACATGAAGCAGAAAGGCATCTTTCAATACAAAATACAAAATATTTTTTCCATGATCTTTGCTCTTCGAATATGGGAATATTACTCACTTGAAATAGAAGAAAATATTGATGATATGAACAGGTTGGTTTTGGAGTAGCCATTTTGTTTAAAGACCTACTGTAGATAATATCAATGTTTCTACATGAATTGCAATTTGCATAATTCCTTACTAATGTCATAAAATTCAGCCACAATGGCAACCGTGTATCAGTTTATTAACTTCAGTGGCCCAAAGTAGTACATTTATTATGAGTTAGTAAATATCTAGGATAATATCAATGTTTCAACATGAATTGAAATTTGCATAATTCTTTACTATTGTCATAAAATTCAGCCACAATGGCAACCGTGCATCAATTTATTAACTTCAGTGGCCCAAAGTAGTACATTTATTATGAGTTAGTAAATACCTAGGATAACTATCAATCATGCACACCAAGTATGAATAATATTATATACATGTATCAAAGTGTGTTTAGATCTACAACTAAAATTAAAAGTTTAAATTGTTAAACTTGCCTTCAAGTATCATCAGCCATGTCTTAAGTACTGGCGGGTGTGAACACATGTTAAATAATCTAAAGTACTCTGCCATACAATTATAGTCTTTCATGTACATATATATATCACATAATGCAATAAGTGTTACTGTTTGAATCTAACTGGGTAAAAAGTAGGACTTTAGGTAATATGTAATAACATGCATTCATCCCTAAATAACAAACAAACAAAACAACAACAAAAAATTGCAAACAAATTACAAAAGGAACATTCAAAGTCCATAAACAGGGCAAGACTAAATAATATATATATTCTTCCTATGTGTACATGATATATTATTTCCAAGGTACCGGTAATAGAGATACCACTAAATTGGACTTATCTACATATTCAGCCTGAAAAGTTTTGAAATATGAAGGTACACACATTTCTAACTATGAATGAAGCCTGCCTTTCAGTCCTATTTTCTGTCTAATACTTTAAATATCGCTCACCTTTTTTTCATATTTTGATGTAACAAATGTGCACAAAAGAATTTGCAGAAATTAAGACATGTATTTCATTATACTTTCATAGGTTTCTTAGATCTCAAAGAATTACTTTAAGACTTCTCTTGTAATACAAATCAGTGGTTGAAATTGTTTTCAACTGACAACAACATTTTCCAAAAATTTAATGACAATACAGCATAAAAAAATAGAACACCTTTTGAGTAGAAAAATTACAAAATTATGACTACAAAAAAAATACAAATTTTGCAAAACAGTATAAAAGAAAAAAAAGCATATCAAGTGCATATCATGCCTTCTTCAATATTTCAGACTTGCTAAAACTTTGTTCATACATGTGGGAATTCCTCAATAAACAAAAAAGGCTCCCATCCCATGGCAAAATGTAAACCATTTTAAATAGAAAAAGAATGGAAAATGGTGGTTTTTAAAAAAAAATTAAAAAACAGCTGCGAGCAACAGCATACTTGTCTATTTGTGCCTAACAAGATACAGATAGTATGAAATGCACTATGCTTTAAATATTAAAAGTAATTTTATTTCGTTTATTTTTCTTTAGGCAGTCTTTTCAGAGCTATTTTTTCTTATTAAGCAGTTTAATAATCAAGTGTGAACAAGGCTTGAGCATAGCGAGTTTTAACACAACAATGATCTATTACCAAAAAGGTACATATAGCTACAGTCAGATTTTGCACCATTATAAAATCCCTGATAGTACCACTATGATATCACAACAGTAATGTCATCTATTCTGGTGGAGTATAAACCTTTAAAGATCAAATGAGTGCAACAGATATCTAGAGGTTATTTATGATATCACAACAGTAATGTCATCTATTCTGGTAGAGTATAAACTTCCATAGATCAAATGAGTGCAACAGATATCTAGAGGTTTTTACAGTCACTGATTTCCTTGTTCCTGTATTGTGCATAACATTTTCTAATAAAAGTTGAAAATACACAAGCACAAAATTAAAAGATATTTACCAGATACACACCTGCAATATCTGTTTTGTGTTTGATTTTTTATAATGCGTAACTGGCATGTTAACATGTTTAGAATCTACTTCATAGTTTGATATTTTGAAATGCAACAAAAATGCAATATATATTTTAGTACTAAAACGTTTTACAAAATTGAGTTCAACCTTACAAAAACAAGTCAGATTTAAGAAAACTGGATACACCCTATATTACCTGAAGTTTAATGTGATTCAAAAGGTGATGGAAACTGAGTATTCTTAAAGCCTCTCTTAAAAATTCAAAGCACTTCAATGGTTACAGAAAACAAACCTCTGTGGGAGGGAGTTGAGCTGAAAGGCATTACACATCTGGTTGTTCATAGTGACCCAATAGCCTTTGTCTTTCTCTTGTAAGACTGTGTAGGATGTTCTCTTGCTTGTGAAGCTTGCAGATTTTGATGAGCGAGAAGATGAGGAGGATGGTGTACAGTATCCATGATGTCCACAAACCAAACTGAGGAATAGAAATGAAAATCAAGCCCTCTAGTTAGTGGCATATCAATACAAGACAAATATAACACCTACCGGTATATTCTTTATGTGAAGTCACAGAATTACATACAACTTCTGATTGGAGCCATAAGGGCATTAACTCTAATAACTGTTTGTAAAATGACAAGTTAATACCTTTCTGGCTCTAAACAGACTTACTAACGACATGTTGTTGTTTTCCCTAGACTTTTGTATGGTGCACAGTGCAATGTCACAGAATTACAGTTTTCCCTTATATTTTGGCACAGTATGCATGTAGGCAGATTAGTGCACTGTTCTTACCATGTAACATAATCAGTAGGGTTTGGGTACAAATCTGCTATACTATTATTTATTTATTTTTTTTATTTATTTTTTATAGAAGGCTGAATGGAAAGTTGGAATAGTTCTACTCAAAGTTTGCCATGTAATGCATGTTCAACTTTTAGAAAAAAAAAAAAACAGTCTGAATATAAAACATTTAAAGGTAAAGACCAGTATTGGAAATGCCCCAATTTAAAAAAATGAAATGGAAGCTCTCATTACCAATCATGTGAAAGAATATGTTTTGACTAATAGATGATGATAACAAATTTGCCGGGAAACCGCCTACTAATTCATATATTTGGTAAATTTGTTTCTCTCATGGTCTGTGAGAGATATAGGGTAGTCCCATATACATCTTTCTGTGTATAGTGCTTGTAACTTTACGAAAATTGGGCCAAATTTCTTATCATTTTGATGATTCCAGAACCTTGCAGATGCTAGATGCTAGATGATCAACCTTTTCTGATCGATTCCACAACGTTTCTTTCACAATGCAATCGCATGACTATAACTGGTCTTTACCTTTAAACAGAACTAAATTGTGCGTGGATTGTGCTCTATTCTCTGTGATGAGGACTTTTGTTACAAAATATTAAAATTACCGGTCAAAAAAATCAGAATGGTAATTGAAGTGTACCTATCACCGAAATATGTTTTGCTCTTGATGGAAGAGGTACCATGTTACTATACTATATTCAAAATATGGGTTTCATATATAAAATTACAAAGAGATATCGCAGTTTTAATATACTCTCAGTCAACAGAAAAATGACTTGTTGAGTAGACTAGGAACCCAAGTCAGACTTGAGCTCAGTATGCATCTTTCTATATTATCCTTAATTTTTTCATACTCTTTTATTTCTGAGAATGTCTCTTTTTTTCCCCATTTTTTTTTGGGATGATTCTATACATTCTAACTAAACATCGTTTTTTATTGTGTTTTTTCTGGTACACTTTAATATTCTTGAGAGGAATTAATTCATTTGACTTGCCTGACAGGTTATTATGATTTTTATACAGAGGATCCCTGGTATCTGTTAGAATTCCCTGGCATGACTGTTGTTTAAAAAAGCATCTTAAGAAAACTGTCACAGCAAGTGCAAGATGCTATAAAATCACTAATAGAAATATGAAATAAAATTCAAATAACAATGGATAATATAAATGATTTGTTTTTTCTTTTTTGAAAGCTTACCTGCGCTATACCCCAGTCAATGTTGAATCCTTCTGGGCTTATATTTCCATCAGCGAAGAACTCATTGGCATATCCTGCAAATTCACAGCTGTAAGAAAAGGAAAAGGCAAATTCTCTTATGACTGAATTTAACATTAAATAACCTGATAACTAGAACTGTTCCACATGGAAGACTCATGGATGCCACACATGCAGCACTCTGGTATCCATGTTATGGGAAAGGGGGAAATTAAAAAATCTTAGGTATGGAGCTAAAAGATTTTAATGTCGGGCTGAATGTAGGCTTCAGGGAGAAACACATGTGGTCTTTATAGGCAGCCTAAGATAACACATCCTGGAGTCTATGCAAAATATGAGCCTGAGCCCTGAGGTATATCAAAATCAAATAGGATCTGATGGGTTTATCTTTATCATTGCAAGTGGATCCCAATGCAATATGAAAACAACAAAGCTGAAAATTCTTTTTTTTCTTCTTTTTTTTCCATCATCCTAAAAAAAGATAAAAAGATTGAGTCGTCAAAAAAAAAAAATCTTCAACTACTCACCTTTCACCAGCTTTCTGAATAGCTGCACACCACACTTTGTATCCGTCTGTGACAGTGATGGCAGAAGCCAGCAGCATGATGTTCATCAGAAGGTTCACCAATAAAGTAATACAGGTCATCAGGAAAGAGCTGATAAGAAATTAGAGAGAATTTTTTTTGACAAGGTGTCACTTTCCATTATGATTTATGCCAGAGTTATTTGGTCAACCTTTTCTGTCCTTTATGATAGATATGTCTTCAAAAGTTCAAATGTATTTTTCTGATTTGCATTTTGATTGGCAAATAGAATAATAAATATAAATATGAATAATAATATATATAAATAATAACAAATATGAAATAGATCGTGCCCACTACTCTGTCTTTAAAAGTATTTCCATACTGAAGAAACAAATTTGTGGACATGTTCATTGATCATACACAAACTAGTAAGACCATTTTTTCATCCATTATTCCATTATTATTATTATTTAGAATGAATTCATTTACCCTTGGTACAAACTGAATGAACTGGTCTTGCAGTGTTCCATGGGGAATAGAGTAAGGTGAACAAAAGCAAATTTTCAAGTATGTGTGCATCTAGACATTTTCATTATCCACGGCATTGGCAAGAGCCTTGTTAGGGGAATGTACCATGGTATCATTGTTCTGAAGTTCCCTGTGCTTGGAATGAGGACCTAGAGAGTGTTATGCACTAATTTGAATCTTGGGTAGCCGGACCCAAGACCCCAAGAGAGGACATTCTTATCAACAGGTTTTACCTGTCAGTGCCATTGATTGCGTGTATTGAAAGACGAATACTCTGCCAGAGAGAGATCCCCATCAGCTGAATTCCAACAAAGATAGCGAACCCACACTGGCTTCCTAGAGACCACTGATTCACCACATATCGACCTCCAATGGTTTTATTCAGGTAGCCAGTCGAGAATAGGATACAGTGATCATCAAAGTGCTGCTGGCTGACTGCGATGGGTGGAAAAGTGAAGAGAGAGAAGATGGCACCGAAGATGTAACCAATGATCTGGGAGAGGAGGAGGATATTACCAAGGCCCATGGTCGGTCAGCAATTGAGTTTTTCAATAGCAACAAACGACTCCTGTCTCCTGCAGGCTGAAGAGAGGAGGCTCCTCAGAAAAGTCCTAGGGAATCAAGCAAAGAGAAGAGAATCATTTCATTTTTTAATTTTTTTTTAAGAAATCTAATTTTTAAGGGGAGGAGTACTAGATCTATTGACTTATCTGGCTGGCATCAAATTCACTTGACCTCTTCTCTTCCATAGCTTTTACCATCAACTGTTACACAGAACATTTAAATAGTAAAACTTTTGGCTGTAATTCTTAATTTGATTATTGACATTGTAAGTTTGTAACCGTTTACACAATGCATGCAAAGTATTTCTGTTTCAAGTCTCAAGTAGGAAAAGTCTGAGACGCGAGTTTGTTTTGAGACTATTTTGTTGATTCACATTTCACAAAAAATTGACATGTCAAGGCATGCATGTAATCATTATCATACAGTCTAGAATAATCATAACATAATGCAACAATCAATTTACCTCTGATATATATTACTTAACGTCCAGCCCAAACGTCAGCTCAACAGCACTTTTAACACTAATCATCTGATTAATGTTTACAGTGGTTTGATATATGGCACGTCAATCGTCAGCGTAGCTAGGTCACATACGTACACCTGTACTGTGCCTGTACTGTAGCTGCACAGTGTACATGTACTGCAATTTCCCCGGCCCAGTCCAGATCCAACGAACTCAAACCAAGGATTTCGATGGCCCAGTCATGTGATCACGCCTACCTGAAATATGCTAAAGTTATCTACTATCTTCGACCGCACGACGGGTTGATACCACGTAGTTTATTTTAGGTGAACTGATCAAATTGTGGCTAATTTTCTAATTAAATATACTTAAAACGTTTTAAAATATTTATTTAATAACTGTATATTAAAAAATAAATCTTTAATTTGATTTAAAAATTACTTTTTGATATTATTTATATATATAATATTTAAAAATAAAAATGAATTACTTTACTTTTAAATTGGCAATGCCTCCATCTCATGATACCGATGGGAGTGTAAAATTCAGTGGTCTGAGTTATTTTGTAGGTGGAAAAGAAAGGGGTGTGTGCATAAATATGCGTCCTTGGATGCGATGCATGGGATGCGGTTTGTGTACGGATATTGGGGATGGTGTTACAAACATATCTGATTTTAATTTTTTTTTTAAAACAGCCATAGATATGTAATTCAAAATTACCATATAAATAAATATAAGCCACTCCTTGAAGGTTTATCTGGCCATTTCCTCTAATTTCAAAACTTTATCTGCCAATTATGTTATGATGATCAGTAATTATGCTGACTGCTGAGTAAATGCGTTTTAGGTGAATACATCATATTTTATTATAAAAAATTTGTACAGAATATAGTTGGTTATTATTATTAGTTGAGTGGTGGATCAGTTCAGGATCCGCCGCGTATCCGATTTAGTTTCTTTGTTTTTTTGTTTTTTTTTCTTTTTGTTGTTGAAAGATGGAGAAAAAATGTCTGATCTTATCTTATCTTTCTTGCTTTAAACAAAAAGTCAATTTCTTTATTTCTTTCATGTTTTATTTACCTGATTAAAAAAAAAAAAAAAAAATCATCTATCAATCTATCTCATTTATTGCGCCGGAAGCAGTTGGGGGGCAAACGTTCCAGGAGGCTCACCTTCGCAGTGGCGTAATGAGCAAAAACGTATACGAAAGAGAGATATATGGAAGCCCCGGCAGGGGGGAGGGGGCAAGGGGCTGAGCCCCTGGAAACTCAGGGTTTTTAGGCATTGGCAATTACGGTCAGATAAGCATATTTAGATACCTTATTTGTGACACTGTTAGGTCACTAATTGGTAAAGAGTCCAGGGGGCAGAGCCCCCGGAAGCTCAGGGGTTTTAGGTATTTACGGTTATATGAGCATCCAGGGACCCTCTTTAGGCATTGATGTGGTCCAGGGAGGAGAGCCCCCGAAAGCTCAGGGGTTTTAGGTATTTTATTACGGTCAGATAAGTATCCAGGTGCCCGCCTAAGGGCCCCCGGTGGTCAGGGGTTTTAGGTATTTAATTATGGATAGATGAGCATCCAGGGGCCCTCTTTAAGGCCTAACGGTGGTCCAGGGAGCAGAGGCCCCGGAAGCTCAGGGGTTAGTTTTAGGTATTTGATTACGGTCAGATGAGCATCCAGGGCCCGCCTTAGGGCCCTTGGTGGGGTCCAAGGGTCAGAGCCCCTGGAAGCTCAGGGGTTTTAGGTATTTCAATGTGACGGTCAGATGAGCGATCCAGCGGCCCACATTAGAGTCCTTGGTGGGGTCCAGGGGGCAGAGCCCCCGGCAGCACGGTTGTTTTAGGTATTTAATTACGCCAGATTATTTTGATACCTCATTTTGTGACATTGGCAGGTCACTTATTTTTTTTCTCTCTCTCTCTCTTTCTTTCTTTTTCTCTGTTTTTCAAAAAGTGAAGGGGGCAAGAGCCCCAGCCGTTTCTGCAGGCCCTGACATGAAGGGTTCTAAATAAGCATATTTTTCGCCCGACTGTAAATTTGGGAATTTATAATTTTCCAACAAACGCATGAAAAGGTATGACTTATATACAAAAAAAATGAGAAAAAATACCGGAAAATCATGTCATTTCAGCAACTAAATAACTGGTATCAAATGAGAAATACCACCACCCCCCCCCCCCATCAGTATATAAGCCAGCGTTTCAGGGGCTCATGTCTTCTCATCCCTATAACAAAAACACACACGCTTTACCATCCTCTCACAATATTCCCACGATATGCGCGTATCGCTATTTTAAAAACCTCCATTGTTAATATAGGTGGCATGCAGGCTGTTTAGGAAATTTAATTCCTGTTAACTTTCCTTTTCTTTGAATGGACTTTATATGTGATTTAATTCAGGTTTTTATTATTGTTATGTTCATTTGGGTTGAAAATACAAACCATCTATACTCCTTTACTGCTTTTTTTTGAGGGGGCGTTTGTTTGTTTGTTTGTTTGTTTGTTTGTTTGTTTGTTTGTTGTTGTGTTTTTTTTTTTTTTTGGGGGGGGGGGCATAAATGCGTTTTGCCCCACCACCCCCCCCCCCCCCCACAAGTGCCCCCTCCCCCAACTTCCGGCGCCTATATATGGGTCACCCTAGACCTATCTATCTATCCATCTATCTACTTATCGTTCTATTCATTAATTTAAAAAAATGTTATGACTGGGCAAGGAGGTGACTTTTTAATAACTTCTTGGTCTGGGTTTCAGATTAGATTAGGCCGTGTGTTCATGCAGGCATATTTCAGGACTATTGGGGTTCAAGTTCGAATCCGATGCTCCCCACGCTCCTGGGATCGGGACGGTCGGGAACCCGCCCATCCAGCACAGCGCGCCGCAGCTATATTTTAGCTCCAGCTAGCCCAGCCTGGCCTGGTACTGGTTATAGCGCGCACGATAGCTAGCTACATGAAGCATGCAGTTTGTTAGAGGACTGGGAAAGAGTAGAACGCTACTTCAGAGCCTTATTATTTATCGTTCATCAGATTTGCTTAATTGTACCGGTATACTGTGCAGAAATATGGTAAGTTTACTAATTTTTCATCTTTATGAAATGTTCCAGTCTCGTCTTTGCGAAACGTGAACAAAGAAAAGAAATCGCGACGGACGTGAACATTGATTGACATCGCGTCGTTCGTGTGTAGAGTAGGAGCAAGCAGCGGGAGGCTAGGCCGCTCCGACCGGTGCGGGCCGCCGCTTGCCGCTGGGGCAGGCTGTAGTTCGAAGCGTCTGCAAAGTCTTGCTGTTGGTCCCCTGGTTGATTGCTTATTGTAAGCATACACATGCTTTCTTAGCAGTCGGGTAAAACAAACTTAAGTTAGGTTTAAGTAAAAGGCAAGACTATTCACAATCAGAAGCCCCCAAAAGAACTCTTTTCAATTCAACTGAGGAGTTTACCGGATATGAAAAATAAAACTGACGATGGTTTAGGTGATGATATCAATTTCTCAATGATCTTGTTTCTTTCTCAAACAGGCCCAATACAGAGTGGAAAGGGATACCTTTGGGGACATATCGGTGCCTGCAGACAAGTACTATGGAGCGATGACGGCACGCTCACTTGCCAATTTTGACATCGGTGGTGAGACAGAAAGGATGCCTGTAAATATCTCTTTAAATTTTACGCACCCAAATCAGGATTATTTGTTCCTCTCAATCATATTCTTGTGTACTTGATATATCAGTTTATTACTTATACTTGATTTTGATTTTGGTTTCCATAGTTATAATGATGCAATTTGCTTCCAAAACAATGACTGTGTCAGAAATTCATTTCAACAGGACAAGATTATTGTAAACAATCAGAACTCCAGACTGAATCGTTGCTTTCTAAAGGAAAAACCTTTTTTCTTTCTTCAAACTCCTTGTAAGAGAAAGAGAATATAATATTTGTTGTACCGGTAGTCATTTGCACACTATGTGTAGGTAATGTAATGCTTCTTTATTTGATTTTCAAAGATGTAAATAATAATACATTTAAATGGAATATTACTTTCAAAGTTATATGTCATGAAGAAATACTAGGGAAACGTGCTTTTTGTGTTACATATTTACCAAAATCAATATCTGTAACTGTATTCTATATTCTCCATTCAGATACCTATTATAAGATCATTTGCGATCTTGAAACGTTGTGCGGCTGAAGTCAATACTGAGTTTGGTTTGGATGTGGACAAGGCTAACTATATTTCCAAAGCTGCAGATGAGGTGATTATTGTTCACATTGATATTTTGATTCTCATATTCTTATAGAAACCCAAAGATCAAATTTTACCAGGTTTGCAAAATAATGTACATGTAGGCAACTGTACAAACAAGTCAACAAATACCATTAAACAAACACTGCATGTACCGGTATATTGCATACTTTCAATTTTAAAATAGAATGAAAGGAAAAGGAAGAAAAACATGGATTGGATGGGGAAAGAGAACAGTGAGACAATTGGATTGAAGTGTTTTCATTTTTGTTGTAATGTCAGCTGGTGAAAAATAGCTGAGCAACAGCCCGGAATTCACTCTATAAGAGGATTTGGCCAGTCTTATATGAATTAGTTATTTAATGTTAAATGTGGACGAAAGGGAATGGAAAAGCTTGGAGAAGCAAAAGCAAGAAATAGTCTGCCCAAAGATTACATTTCCAAGACAATCCAAGACAATTATACTTGTGCTTTGTTTCATATTTTCAGGTGATTGACGGCAAACTGAATGATCACTTCCCCTTGGTGATTTGGCAAACAGGGTCTGGTACTCAGACTAATATGAATGTGAATGAAGTCATCAGTAACAGAGCTATCATGATGATGGGAGGAGAACTAGGAAGTAAAACCCCTATACATCCTAATGATGATGTCAATAAGAGCCAGGTAATTTAGACAAGTATGATTTATATACACTGTGCAAGTTAAAAATTATTATCACTATTTCATACAAGAAAATTTCAGCTTTGTTTAGCAGGTCTAAATTCCACTACATATATGTTTGTTGTACAAGTGTTTGTACTTCCTAATGTAGTAGAGAATGTGCACTGTTAGTGCAGGATGGCAGTTATCTCCGATAAATGTAATCGAGCCAGTACTCTAGGGAGTGCTTTGATAAGTTGTAACTGTACATGCACTATTTACAAAATTACAATTATAAACATTTATTATGCTACCTTGTTGTTGCTACCTTGTTTGGCGTTCAACAATAAGGGATAGAGCAATGTCCATCTGGCGCTGCTCAGTGGCTGCCGGGCTCACGATCAATTGGGCAAAAAGAATTTCCGTTTCGGTTTAATAAAATTTGGAGTGGACTATTAGGCTATTATTATTATTATTATTATTATAGCTTGTTTATGTAGATTAATTATACAGAAAATAGTAAACAAAATATTTTTGTACTACCAAAACCTGATAGATTTGATTCCCTGATTTCCAGTCTTTACTTCACATATTTTTTTCAGATGACCAGATGGCAAATACTCTGAAAGAAAAAAAACTGTCATCTCAATTTGTTAGTAAACATTAACTTCATACCTCACTAATGCTCTCTCTAATCTTATATTACATATATTCTCCATATTGTTATGACTATTCAATTCTCATATGTCTACAGAGCTCCAATGATACATTCCCAACTGCCATGCACATAGCAGTTGCCTTGGAGATACAGCAGAGACTGATGCCTGGTCTCAGCCTCTTCAAAGAAGCATTGAGGAGCAAAGAAGAGGAATTCAAGGATGTGATCAAGATTGGCAGGACACATACACAGGTTGGTTATGAAGACAAGCTTTCTTCTCAATGGAATTTGATATCCAGCTGATGTATTGAGGCTGTTTTTTTTTAAAGCCATGCATGGGTAATTTGATTGATATTTGGGAAGTGTAGTGTAAAGGAGGCGTAGACAGCACTGACAGGAAAGATTGAGGGGAAGATGGGTAGAGGAAGGAGAAGGTTATATTATTGGATGGATTGCATGAAAAAAGTGTCTTGAGGTAAGAGTAGTGTATTGACAGGGGGTAGAGCTGCTGAAGAAGGCTAGTAACAGAGAATTGTGAAAACAGCTTGACTACCGAAGCCTTTGGCACCTAGAGGAAGAGAAAGAGAACAGGATATATGACTAACATTTTTTTAAACTCTTAGTAACAATGAATTCGGTTCATAGTTTTTATCTTTTTGTATTGAACATTTCCTATCTTGCTTATTTACATGTAGTGTCACTGAACTAATGTGAATGTATTTTGATCAGTCATTCAATATAATTTATTTTACTGCCAGGATGCAACACCAATGACGTTGGGTCAAGAATTCAGTGGTTACAGAACACAGATTGAGAATGGTATCCAAAGAGTTAACTCAACCCTACCAAGACTCTATGAATTAGCAGCTGGTTAGTATATCTCCCATTTCTACTTTGTTTATTGTAACTGAACACATAATTTCAAAGTTTGATGTAATTCACATTTCCTTCATATTTTACTATTTCATTGATTGAGTTCTTTGCACTCTGCAAGTTTTACAGATGTACGAGAGCAGAGTTGGTTATTATTGGAGCATGAATTTTCAGGGGTTTTATGGGATATATCCTGAGTAATAAAACAATCAAGTCGTTTGTCAGAAGTAACTTGAATAGCGTCAAATTAAGCAATAATAATTAAAAAGTTTTGAAAGATGATAATAAACTCCTCTATTCTTTATTGAATAGGAGGAACAGCGGTGGGCACCGGTTTGAATACTAGGATAGGATTTGCTGAAAAGGTGGCAGCTAAAGTAGCTGATTATACTGGTAAGTAATGACATGTTTTTGTCCAGCAATATCCGTCTATGTGTGATGAAATATGTGTCAATTTTGTATGTGAAAGAAGTAAAATATTGTAAATGTAATTCAACAGCTACAAAACCACAACAAGGTGTGCACATTTATGTAGGCTGTGTTGGCGATAATGCTTATAGTGGAATATAAAGTAAAAATTCAATCTGGACTCAGATTTATCCTGTTGTATCAAAGTAATATTATAAACAATATGTCATACCTGTAACAATACACATGTATCAAATATGCATGTTATTCAGGATGTTGGTGTATAACCTGTAGATGTAGGTAAACAGTCCAACTTAATTCGTTACTGGAACTTATTTTTTTACCAGGGCTCCCCTTCACAACTGCTCCTAATAAGTTTGAGGCATTAGCTGCTCATGATGCCTTGATAGAAGTGCACGGCGCCCTCAACGTTGTTGCCTGTAGCATCATGAAGATAGCCAATGACATCCGATTCTTGGGTTCAGGGCCAAGATGCGGTCTTGGTGAGCTGACCTTGCCAGAGAATGAACCTGGAAGCAGCATTATGCCAGGTTGGTAGAACTGTCGCAGGAGATGATTTTGATTCATTGATACAACACTTCAAAGAGATTAGTGGTCACATACTTGTGATGCTGTTTAGATGTGATTTAAGTTTCAAAATATTGAACTTTAACATGTGATACTCCACTATTGATACAATAACCCCATCATGAAGGGAAGGGGTATGGGACTAGTTCAGTATTATTATAGTGCTATTTTATAAGGCATTTATTTTCAATTGCTTAGACAAACTTGACTTTTGAATAGGGCAAAAACCGTGATGCTGATTAGACTACCAAAGTAAATAGTAAACCAGTCATCAAAATGATATCCCATTAGAAAATTTGAAGAGGAGACTTTGGTAATGGACAACCTTTATTTTTTAAATAAGTCAGATGAATATTGCAAGAGAAATTTCCTAACTGCTATGGACACATATTCCAGTGAAGCCTGTGTACATGTATAATAAAGACCACTCAAGGGAGACAAGAAAAGTGATATGCTTAAGCAGATGGCCTGTAAATACAGGTTAATGTAGTACACATTCAATGATAAAAACTTCTAAAGTGAAACAAATAGAGGTGATCTTTCTATAAAGGTTATTGTAAAGCAGTTTGACTGTGTATTATGGCGATGATAGAGTATTCTGACTTGTTATTTCAGGGAAAATAAACCCCACCCAGTGTGAAGCTATCACCATGGTAGCCGCTCAGGTCATGGGCAACCAGACAGCAGTGACTATCGGAGGAAGCAACGGCCATTTTGAACTCAACGTATTCAAACCCATGATGGTGGCTAATGTCCTGCAATCTGTAAGGCTGCTGGGAGATTCCTGTACATCCTTCACCAAGAACTGTGTGAATGGTATTCAAGCTAATAGAGAGACTATTGACAGGTAATTTTCAACTTGTATTGATTTCAAGTAATCCTTCAGGTCAAGAGGTTATACAGTGAGTTTAGTTTGTTGTCTTTGACACAACTATACAAAACATTTAAAAGATATGTTCCATTTAAAATGAAATTAATTTTTAGCAAATATCTATTGATGGATCCTTACTTCGTCTTTAAACGTAAAACTCATTCCAGCTGTTCTTAACAGAGATGTGGATAACTGATGAAATATATTGTGAAGTCGGGTATTCCATTATGTTCTTGAAATGTTCAAATGTCAAAATTATTTAAACACCACAAATCTTCTTCAAACTGAACACCATTCTTGATATTTTATAAAGACCCCTATGCAGATTATAGATTATATTTTTTTAGAAGTCATCATAAACTTATCACCATATTTGAAATTTTGTATAGACTATATGGATTGACATTTTGTTATTTTTCAAAAGGAGCATCTACATTTATCAAATTGTGCTTATAAAACCTTACTCCATTTATTCTTGCTGATGTGTAGATACCTTCACGAATCACTGATGTTAGTGACTGCCCTAAACCAGCACATTGGGTATGACAAGGCTGCCCAGATTGCCAAGTATGCTCATCGAGAAGGAATCACGCTGAAGAAAGCAGCCGTTTCATTGGGTCACCTTACAGAGGAGAAGTTTGATGAGATAGTACGCCCAGAACTCATGCTAGGTCCCAAATGAAGACAACAAGACAAACTTACCTTAAATGAAAAATTCTTGTCTCTTTACAATGTAAGGCAAAAGGGTGAATATGTATTTTTTATCAGGGAATACAACATATTATTTGTAAATTGCTTCTTAATATTTACTTTGTGTTGAAGGCTTTATGTGCAAGATCTATAAAAAGAAAATAATAATTTGATAAATCCATTACAGAATCATGAGCAAAATTCATTTACACTTTATACAGCCATGCTGCGATGGCACTTTATTACATGAATATGCAACATTTTCACAAATATATTTTTGAAAATTTGATTTTCGACGTGTGCTACCAACACTATTGACCACTTATCAAAGAAGAAATTTACCAAATTGTCATTAAATACAGTAAAAAGCGTGATTTAATCTTCAGTTACCGTATTTGAAAGTATTATGTAAATATTCACATGTTTTGGGGTCATTCTAAGCAAAACCTTGTGAAATATGGGTTTCATTCTTTGGTGCAATAAGACCATCTGAAGCAAAATTCTCTTTAATGAGTACCGAGTCTTGATGTATATTTTTTACTTTTCTTGACATTTAAAAATTACTTGCTAACATGCTCTTGTATGAAAAATATTTGTTTGTTCCTCCTGAATGAAATTCAGTATTGTAGAATGTAGATAGGTCTCCTTTCTTTGATCGGTCAAACAGCTATGAGCATGAACATTATATTTGAACTTTGAACTTTGACCTATATATTTTTGAACTATTAATAAGTTGGTAGAGGTTTGTAGTATTGTACTGAAATAGATCATTGTAAAAGTGTCATCAATTGACCAGCATGAAAATCATGATCTCCTAGATACCATTTGTGAAGAAAAAAAAATCAAAGTTTAAAAATGTATTTCAAATTTTGAACATTAGTTATAGCTATTTGGAAACTGATTTGTACAAACTGAAATTATCAGCTTGTCTAACAATCGTGGTTGGCCCATATAGGGGCAAGGGTTAGTTTGTTGCATTATACAAGGTGTACACAAATTTTACATTGTGATAACAATGAGAAAATGTGGTTCAGTTCCACTGATCCGACTTTTGCTCTGGCATTCTTTTTGTCAAAGGTGTATGTCTAGAGTTGTCATTGGGTTTATGTTAGGTTTTGGGCGAGGGCTAGCTTGGGTGTACCTACAGGGTTGTATTAGTGTTAGTGACTAGGTTAAAATGACATATTCACAATCACTTGAAACCTTTAATATTTGACATGTCACAAATAGGTATTTAAAATACTTTTTTGATATGTGATTAAATTTCAGAGGTTTATTTGCTTAGTTTTTAATCATGGATGTGCTGCGCTATCAAGGGCTGAATAAATACACGGTCACATGTATAACATGTGTGATTGAAAACAACTTTTTTTTTTTGTCTTCTACTTCTTTCCATTGCTTGTTTATTCTTATCCTTATTCTTGGAAACAAGAATAAAGCCTATAACCCTGAAATCCATCGTTGGGTCTAAACTTGGTCTAGACTTATATTAAACAGATATCAACAAAGGGGCAACTTGGACCTCAGTACCTGAAGAGGATGAAGAGGATGTGCTTTCTCTTTCATTTAGCTGAAACATATACATATACAGCATAAAGATAACTTCATGGCTTTCATGCGCATTAAGTGCTTATTGCTGCTTTTACTCATTTTGAGTCGGGTCATTTGAAGGGTTAAAAAGTATTAAACAGCCTTTGACTGTATGGACCATAGCTAACTTTCAAAAGAATGAGACAATCTTAATGCACAGTGACAAAACAAGACAAACGGTTTAACCAACAGGCATAATAACTGCTGCACCAATATCAGAAGAAGGTAAACTGATTTTTATTTACATGCTCTATGTACATTTAAACAATAGTTTAGAAATCTCAGACATTTGTCATTATGCACACACAAATATAATCCTAAAGTGGAAGATGAACAAGAGAAACACTCCTGATTAATAAAAAAAAAAAAAAGTATAACCTGTCATAACACATGTCCACAGGATACCTTAGTTGTTACTACATGTATTTGCCAGTATAATAAATGACCACACACTGTACTGGCTGCCTACAGTATCATCGATAAGAATCAATATGGAGCAAGAAAAGTACCAAATGATTCAGATTGAATGGTCAATGTGACACGATGAAGACTACATTAATAAATTATCGTAAAAACACCACTTACGTTGGATGTGGGTGATGCACTCTAACCCTACTGGATTAGGGTAACATCAGATGGATTATGTGAATTGAATAACATATAGAATTTAAATTTCAAATATGATGAATGTAATGGAAAGAATATCTGGTGCGAATAGGGTTGGTGATGAACTTTGGTATTCTTTAATTTACACTCCAGAAAACAAAATGTATTGACTGCTGACATGTCTCAAATCAATACATCATACTCGTACTACCATAACACATGCAAGTCTATATGATTGTTAAATCATTTTTTAACACTGATAAACATGTCAATAAATATTTGTCTGTAAATTAATACATGTATAGTATACTTCTTACATTGATATATTCTTTATATACTTGGTGTGAAAGCAGAAATTATGAGGAAGAAGGGGACATAAGTCTTATTTATTATCATTCATTATGTTTATACTTTATATGAGTCTGTAATAAACTCATAATAGGTAAATTCAAACATAAATGGGTAAAATAATCCCCCCCGCCCCTTCCATATGTACCGTTCACATGATACTGATATTGATTGGTCCTTTCTTTCAGGCTATGTTATAGACATTAAGACTATTGCTCTCATTTACAACATAATTAATCATACAAGGGCAATGTAGACTCATTTCCCCCTAAAGAGCCAGTCAGTAACCAATAAGCATTGTTTTCCTAAATGAATTAACTTTACAGTCAATTATTTTTATAAAGAACCACAACAAAAAAATATTTTTAGATTATATTCTACCAAATATCACTTCTCATTTTTTAATTTTTTAATAATTCTTCCTCACAGCATATTTTTATTTAGTTTTGAGGATAAGATCAGTGGTGCACTGCCTTGTGCCATATCTGGGCCCCATTTCACAAAACTTGTCATCAGTGATGAATGATAGTTTTTGTTAAAAGCTACCATGATCCTTGCTTCTGATTGGTTTTCAGTAGATATGTCACTGATTTTTGTAATTTGTCATTGAAAAAAGGCTTTGTGAAACGGGTCCCTGGTCTTCATCTACGCCATGAAAGAAATGCGCTGTTTTTCAGGGTCAGGTAATGAATGTCAGTTCACCAAAGACTTTACAACCTGTGAGTTTTTCCAGCGCAAAATGTCCCGATAGTAGTATTCCGTGTGGCGTCATGTTTATCATAATGTCCCGAGCTTGGTGACGATAAGTACCCTGATACATTGATCAAATGATGAGCATACACAGAGACCAGCCTTGTCTGGACTCCAGTCAAAGCCTGCTATAGGCTGTGTGGATATCCCTACACTCTGGAGCATAGACACTGAACCCATCACACCTTTCTGTACACCATTAGAGTCTTCTTCTACTCTCGATGTAGGGTACTCACTGGAGAAAAAAGAAAAGGCGGAAATAAGAAAAAAATGTTATTTGTATTGAACTTCACAATATTAGAATTGACAAGATAGCCATTTGAGTTCTGAGAAGAAAAAAAAAGATACATCATAGATGAAAGAAAGATGCCAAGAATAACATAAGTGGTGCCCAAACAATGAGGTTATTGGACTAATGATGATGGCATCATTCCACTGTTTCTTTTCAAGACTACAGTATGGAGTGTTCATGTGGTGTTTCGCTTCACAAAATATCAATAAATATCATGTCCATACCTTTTACCAAATTACTGTATAATCCATATGGTGTGCAAAAATGACTTCACTTAAATGGCCGACCTGCCAGTATCATTCTCCAAGAATATAGGATACCTTTACTTCAGATGAAACACAGTTACACTATTTCAAGATACACCTATAGTATGCTGATTTGATTCCAAACAATTCTTTGTAGGATATTAATGAAAACTAAGGACTTACTATTTCCACAAGTTGAGAGTCCCAGAGCCTCCACAAGTCATAAAAACATCTCTGTTTTGAGGCAAATGTCTTGCACACCATACCGTTGATTTATGTGCCTGTAGAGTAAGAAAAAAAAAACAATCAACAGAGAGTTAACAATGTTGGTTTTAATGCAATCATCTCTCTTACAAATGGTATATGTTACTTATTTAACATAATGTAAAAAAAAAGTTGCAATTCTTATTCATTTATTTGGTTTTCAATTTTTTCTTTCTTTTTCATATGGTATGAATATCATTGATATTGATGATCACACATGTCAATTGAATTTTCTAGTTTATCCCAATCTTGTAGAGATCATAATGTGCTAATATATATTAGTATATGTTGCTAAAGGGCTGGTTTTAAATTCTTTTTTTTTGTTGTCAAATAAGTTTCAAAAATCATGAAGCTTTTAACCAATTGCTTTATTCTGTGTTCCACAAGAACCCTGTTAGGGCTGCAAATATGCAGAATATGCCTAATGTGCAAACTTCTTTACTACTTTTCAAAATAAATAGTACTTGCCTTCTCACTGAGAGACTCGTAGCCGGACTTTGGATGTTGTGTCCTCATATCAAAGAGATGGTATTTAGCCTCAAGGGTGCTAGCAACTAGTTTATTCATGTTGATGTCCTTACGATCAAACTCCAGACCACACACCTGCATTATAGTTAGATAAAGATATGATAGCATGTCAAACAGAAGATCAAGACAAGCAGTGTGTACACCATCATTTCAAATATCATGATAGACTTAGCATTATAAGATAAACAATTTTGAGAATCTAGTGCACATCTACCGTATTTCATGTATGTAATGGTCCCTTTGTGTTGTTTTTTACTCACATTGAACAACGTGATAAACAGTTGCTGTAGTGACATTGAATAACCATGCTGCAACAAAACTGTAAGTTCTTGAAAATTACACTTATTTGCAGTTAAAAATTGTTTTAAATATTTTCTTATACAAGTGTATCAAGGGCCAATCAAAATGGTATTTTTTAACTTTGATTTCTACTACATAATTCAACTGTAACATCATTGTGCATTTTCTCTTGAAATACAATACACTGCAATGTCCATATACCAGCACTCACATATTTATAACCTATTACATCAATATAAAATTTCTATAAGAATAACATTAAAAAACATGGGAGAAAGCAGAGAATTGTAGCTAAGACTCTTTTATTATGGTAGTTATATCATTTACATACCCCATTTTTTATGTTTGTTTCCCATCGTAATGACATATTCCTGAGATCAAACAGTTTGATATCTCCATTGTCATATCCAGCTGCCACACAGCGATCTTCATTATTATGTGCATGACCTATATGAAAAAGAAAGACACATGTATATTAAATACTAAATTTCTAAAAACTAGAATTTGTTTAATTAAATAAGAAAATAGTAATTATATGTTCAGAATAAAACTTAACATAGAATTATTTTGAGGATTAAACATCTTTAAATAATCAAATAAGCACAGTATCAGTATTTTAAGTTTAAAAAAAAAAAATCAGAATTGGAAACTGAAATTAGTTTCTGTTGCTGGAAAAGTTAGGTTATATGGTTTATATGGACTTTCCATTCTTTTGAAGACATAAATGCAAATGATGACACTGAATATGAAGATCTTACTTGGGTGAGTGATAACTTACCAAATGCCACAGTCCAGCAATCTCTCTTGCTTTCACCATCTGCAGGTTCCATGCAAGCTACTGGTTTGTCCTTCTGTCTTGGATCCCAAATTTTTACAGCTCCTAAAGGTAGACAAAATAATGTGTCAGAAAATCAGTTAACCGCTTCTACTCCTTCAATTCTAGTTTCTAAACCAGATATGTGATGACACCTACTTTTTAAGAAAACAAATGAAAGATTTTTTAAACGTGATTAGAGTATCACAAGCAACTGATTTCTACTACTTTTTTTAAAAAGGTCTGTGATTGAAATTTCTACTTCTACTACTTGCTGATTAATGCTTTGGCTTAAACTGGTGACACAACTTGTTTAATACAATAAATTTCATCAAAAGACATATAGGCCTATCTTCTCTAAATGATTAACAACCCAAAATAGCACTAGGATTAATAGGCCTATCTTACCATCTCGGCTCCCAGTTGCCAACTCTGGTGCACCTTCACCAACACCAGCACCTCCGACTCCATCAATACAGTTGATGATCTCCTTGTGTGCTGATACAGAATACACAGGTGTCTCCATCTTTTCCAGGTTCCTGTATTTATTGAAGAATCATCAAGTACAGTACATTGACCCCCTTGAGATGTGGGTGGCTTGAAAAGTCCTTAACAACTACTATTAGATTATTTTGATGTAGGCAAGAATACGGAATTTAGTTAATCGCGAATTAAGTTTTATGATTGAAATCATCATTGAGAAATGAACAGCAGCCAAGACAAGACATACTATCATTGCCATGTTGTGTGCTATAATCACGTTATATATTACCTTAATCCGGCAAATCACAGATTCTGTCATTTTCATATTTAGAGAGAGAGGAATACAAACATCTGCAATGTAATTTATTTTCAATAAGTACTCTCATTTAAAGATTCTCCAGCTGTACATCTATATCTTACCAAATTCTCATATTGCCATTAAAGTCTCCTGTGGCTAAATCCCTCTGCTTCAAACTAGAAGCTCCAAATGTCCCACATTTCAATGCTTCTTTCTTTTCCACCTGATCATACAGACAAAAACAAAATAATTTTGTATAATTAGTAAAACATTACATTTTTAGATACTTTGGAATACCAATTAGAAATTCTCTTATAGAAGATCCATTAAATTCAACTAAATGCGCTGATTTCAATTTAAAAAAGAAAGAAACAGAATCTAATTAATAATAGACTGAGGCATATATATGAAAAGGATGATTGATCAATGGTTAATCAATGAAACAGATATTTTTTAAAGTATTGAGTCCTGCAAAAAATAAAAGTATTTGTGATTTACATCAGTGATGAATTGTAATTTAAATTAATCTGTATTGAATTTAAAGTCTAAGAAGTAGAGAGTTTGGAAAGAAGATAACTGTATTTGAGAAAATAAAAGTAGATATGAGTGGATTTGTTTTTTCTAAAAAAATATAAAAACAAGGTACTAAAAAAGGCTTTTTCAGATCTGATCTCAGATCCTCATGAAATTCATGTAAGTAGTCCACATTATGACAATGATGACCATTGTTACGGACGAATTGTTACAACGAAGGGGTGCGGGCCCGCCCGCACCCCTTCGTTGGTATATGGTATGCAATTGTGCAGTGGCTTGCCGTAAAACCTGTGAGAAAGTGTAGTCTATAGATCTATTATGGCTTGGTTTGTAGAAAAAATACTCCAAAAGAGATAAGGAAATTGACACGAAACAGGTAAGAAACATAACAAATTTAAAATCGTGACCAATATTTGAACAATTGATGAAGATTTAGTTGATTTTTGGTATGTTTTTACCATGTTTTTCCATGCCAGAGTTACTTACGGGTCAAAAATGGATACAAAAGTACACGTCTGACTCAGGCCTGGTGCCACGATATTCGTAACTAAGTTAGGCCTAGATCTACACTTTTACACAATGACATCTGCCCATAAATTAAATATATAGCCAGACTAAATCACATTCAAATTACTTTCAAATTAAATTGATGTTTTTTTAATGTAGATACATACGGAGCCCCGGAAGTGACATGGAGAAAAAAAAATTTTCTCGTTTTCCTGAGATAAATTCTCGTTTTCCTGAGATAATTTTTCGTTTTCCTGAGATAAATTCTCGTTTTCCTGAGATAATTTTTCGTTTTCCTGAGATAATTCCCGTTTTCCTGAGATAAATTCTCGTTTTCCTGAGATAATATTTCGTTTTCCTGAGATAATTCCCGTTTTCCTGAGATAAATTCTCGTTTTCCTGAGATAATATTTCGTTTTCCTGAGATAATTCCCGTTTTCCTGAGATAAATTCTCGTTTTCCTGAGATAATTTTTCGTTTTCCTGAGATAATTTTTCGTTTTCCTGAGATAAATTCTTGTTTTCCTGAGATAATTTTTCGTTTTCCTGAGATAATTCCCGTTTTCCTGAGATAAATTCTCGTTTTCCTGAGATAATTTTTCGTTTTCATGAGATAAATTTTCGTTTTCCTGAGATAAATTCTCGTTTTCCTGAGATAATATTTCGTTTTCCTGAGATAATTCCCGTTTTCCTGAGATAATTCCCGTTTTCCTGAGATAAATTCTCGTTTTCCTGAGATAAATTCTCGTTTTCCTGAGATAATTTTTCGTTTTCCTGAGATAATTCCCGACCAATACATGTTGCATAACTTTCGAAACCCCAGACATCGTTTGTTATATGATCAGCGCACGTCAACTCAATCCAAAGATGGCTACTGTTCATGATCGTAATTTCTTCATTAAAATGTATTTTGATCTTGGAATGACACATAAAGATATTCTGTTCATGCTTCTTCATCATCACGACATACTCCTAAGTGAAAGGCATCTTAAGCGTATATTAAAAGCCAATAATCTCCATCGTAGAAGATACAGCCGTTTGGATGATGTAGTACAATACATCCGGGATCAGTTACAGGGTTCGGGACAGTTGCATGGATATAGGATGATGCATGCCAAATGTCAACAGAGTGGTCTTCGTGTTAGAAAAGAGGATGTACGACTTTTACTAACAGTACTGGATCCAGAAGGTGTTCAGCTAAGGAAAGCTAGACGACTTGTCAGACGGGCCTACTTCGCAAAAGGACCAAATTACATTTGGCAAATTAAAGCCATATGGCCTGTGTATAAGCGGATGTATTGACGGATTTTCAAGGGAAATGATTTGGTTAAATGTGTACAGTACAAATAACGACCCAAAGCTAATTGGAGGCTACTTTCTAGATGCCGTGAAGGAGTTTGGTGGATGTCCCTGCGTCGTGCGTTGTGACCGTGGTACAGAGAATGGACATATTCGCGCTTTTCAAGAATTTCTAAGGAGTGACGTCAGGGGAGAACATGTGTACATAGAAGGAGCAAGTACCTCGAATCAGAGAATTGAAAGTTGGTGGAGCTTTTTGCGCAAAGAATGCACCCATTTTTGGATCGAACTGTTCAGAGATCTACTAGACAGAGGAAACTACACTGGAAGCTTCCTGGATAAGAACATAAGTCAGTTCTGCTTCATGGGTCTAATTCAGGTACAAATAAAATAAGCTATAAAAAAAAATTGACAACAAAGATGCAGTAAATTGATAATTATTTCTCAACGTGTTTTTAAGAGCCAACAAATAATATGTAATGGAAAAATAATTTGCAATCCATCTAATATGCATGAAAGCACGAGAAAAGTGCATCTGGCTTGGCTTTTAAATTTGATTACTTAAGACCATGCAACTAGCATATATAGGACTACAACTTTGATTCTAACTACGTCAAGAAGAACTTGACCAGTACCCACAAAATTATCATAGGCCAAAATTGTGCTGTTTTAAGTTAGGAGGAAAATTGGTGTGGAGGACTACGGGTAACGAGGGGAGAGAGATATGTATGGAGTATCGTTTCCTGCATTATATAACTCAAATATATCAATTTTTTTTATATAATTTTACATTATGTTTAAAGATTTAAAGAGAGAATATCATGATATCACGTCACCTGAGGAGATTAAATCGAAAGCGCTTGTGAAGTTAAAATTGTGCTCCTCGTTTGTGTATTCTATATGATGTAGTGAACTATATTGTAACGATTTTAGATATCATTAATTTTAGTCATTTCGCACAATAGATGTATTCCTTGTTTGTTCTTATAGTTTGTCTTTAGTAGTACAAAGTTTCCGTCTGTTGATCTTGTGAGAATCTAGTCCTTGGCTCACCTTGAGGGCTATACGACTCTGTTTTCGGTCTTGCCAGCGCGTCAAGATATTTTCGACCTAGAGTAAATCTAGCCTCGAACGTGTTACATAATACCAGGGTTGGGGGGGGGGGTGGGGGATTGGGTTTTGACAGACGTGTATCAATCAGATATGATTATTTACGTCTGGGACCGACCTTTAACGTCACCATCCAAAAGACGTGACTGGAATTCGAACCTGGGTCCGAACAGAGTCAGTTTGTAGGCTGATGCAGAGAGCTGACAATGAGCTTTACCGCTCGACCAACTCAGTCCTGATCCCTCGCTCGGCACTATAGTCTAGTTCTGGACCTTATTAGAGTTTTTTTTTCAATAACCCCCCTGTTCGCTCCTACCCACTAGATGGCGCCTTCCCCACAGATTCATCCACCCCATTGAGATGATTAAAAACTAATTTAAGCATAGGATCTTTTAATAAATTGCGAATAAATGTTTAAGCGAGGAATTCACTCCCCTTTACCCTATCGTTCATTCATCCATTATTGCATTCTGGTTATTCACTGTTAATTTAAATCTTCATTATTTTCACAGTCAGAACTTGACACAACAGTTGAAATGTGGAACTCGCATATCATCAGGCCCTCCAATAACCACCGGGTACCCAGCGGACGGCCGATGATGATGTACTACACACCAGAGCTTTGGGGTACAGAGGACAAAATTTGCGGTGTTGATGATGCTTATGCTAGCGTATGCCGAGGTGAAGCTGCATTTCGTTCCACCAGACCATGTGATAAAGATGTTTATGACATGTGCATGACCATTGTCAATAGAGACCATTTACCTATAGCAACGGATGCCCACCAGGCTGTCGATGTGTATCTCCACCTTCGAAGAGAGATAGGAATGTTATTATGAAGGACAAAAATAGGCTGTTGTTCAACTCATTCTGAACTTATCTAACTTGTTTCAGGTACTAGTAGTACTATCACCGTTTTCATTTTTGGCAGTATTTAGTTACAGTGAAACATTAACCTATTTATATTGTTAGGTCTCGTGAAACATATAATTTAGTTTTGTTTATTTCGTCAGAAACAGTGAGAACAGTTTTTGTCAATATATACAGGGTCATGGGCGGTAAACCCGGGAGGATGGGGGCAAGCTTGTTCCCCCGATTTTTCCAGGAGGATCGACCCCATCGATTTCAAAAGCGCAATGTATTTTGTATGCCTCCGCCACGGAAGGCATCATGTTTTCGGGTTGTACGTCCGTCCGTCCATCCCGTTTGCTCGTTATCGCGATATCTCAAGAACCGTTTGAGATATGAACTTCAAACTTGGGGATAATATGTAAGACCATAGGAAGACGATCTGATTAGATTTTCAAGTATGTAGGTCAAAGGTCAAGGGTCACAGAGGTCAACTCATGAAATTCCAGGTATTGACCTCGTTAACGCGATATCTCAAGAACCCCTTGAGATATGAACTTCAAACTTGAGCTGACTAGATTTTTGGTGTAATGAGGTCAAAAGTCATAGGTCACAGAGGTCAATTTCTGAAATTACTGGTTTTATAAAGGCGGAGGCATATATAGGAGACGCAGTCGCATTTGTCTTGTTATATAATAAAACAATTTTTTTTTTTTTTCCAAATTCATAGTTAATTATCATTCGTTTTATCTGAATACAGATCCGGATGGATGACCAATGTCGTAGAATTTATGTAACAAAGAAATAAACAAGATTGAAAAACAATCAAATACATTAGAAATTGTCAAAGCAATGAAATACATGAGAATAGAAATGGAATTTCAGTATTTTACTTTCGAATAATATAATTGATCATACGGTAAAA